GCATGCTGGATCGGACAGCTTAGTGAACGTTACTCTGAACTCAACTGTGGTGATGATTTAACACATATTAATTTGCAAAGTCCATTGGACTTACATCAGTTTGTGCAGGGTCATTTATTAGATGGATGTTCATCAGAGCACAAAGAAATGTAAACAAATTCACTTGCTTTTGGAAAAGATATGGCGAAAATTTGATTAAAAAAATCATCTTTGACGTCCTATATCTCAAAAATAAACAATAAGTCCACAGGAAAATATTGACTTATTTTTTTATGTTGGCAGATACTGAATTTATGGCAGCTTTTCCAAAATACTCTATACTATATTGGATTTTCTTGGAAATAGCTCCATACTATTATCACATTTTTTTTAAATCAAAGTAATAATTTTTCAATATACAGGGTGGGCAGAATTTTATGGAGGAAACTTCAAGGGCAGATAGATCTCTTTAAAATAGTTTTTGTTTATATCTCCGGAATCTATTAGCCGATCTCAATAAAATTTAGTACAGATAATGTATGATAGTAGGCCTTGTATTCCCTAAAATATGAGCTCTAAAGGTTCAACCAGAGGTGTACAACTGGACAGGATCACCAACTTTTTTTATAAAAAAAAAACTACGCCACTGTATTTTTTACAAGCTGTTGTAGGGAATGCAAGGCATACTATCATACATTGTCTGTACCAAATTTTATTGAGATCGGTTAATAGATTCCGCAGGTATAAACAAATAATCAATTTTTTTTACAACTTCAGCACCCTGTATCTCTAAAACGATGCCTACGTTTGTAAGGCAAACACCTACTATTTTAAAGAGACCTATCTGCCCTCGAAGTTTCCTGCATAAAATTCTGACCACCCTGTAGAGAAATTCGGAAAATAAGTTATATGCGAAAATTAAATCACATTCATGCATAAGACAAAAAAGTTGACTGTCGAAAATGTTAGTTTATGTAATATCTGAAAGTTTAAAGCTCGATTTAGCTTTTAGCATATTTGCAGTTACAAAGTTATTCATGCAAATATTATTGAAATATCTTAAGTCGTTTTCTAGGAATTAAACACAAACAATTTAATTATAAAAATTTGAAATTTGACACTCAACAAATTTATAATATCATGCAAAAAGCTTACCATTGAACTTGAACCAAGGTGTCTCGAAGAATCCCGACCATATCCCTGGCACATTCACTCGCGAAACGCGAAACTGGCGAGTCTACAATTTATTTCCCTCGCAGAAGATTCAACCTACCCGGGATCTACATTTGATATCCCGGTGGTCTCAAACCTAGGCTCCTCTCCCAAGAAAGCAAGTAAGGCTTATTGATTACGGCAATCAACAAAACTCCGAATATACACTTATAGTCACTATCACTAACACTCTTTCATTGTGGATGTCCTATTAGGCTGCATATACACTGAAATAAAAATATTATATTAGATTAGCCTTTTAAAAAGACAACTATTTTCTTTATCATTTTGTAGTAGCATACTCGAGAGCATACTTTTATAAAAAAAGATGCAACATAATCTTTGGAATGTTTTTTTAAAATCAACTCAGAAAATTAAGTATATCTTTTACAAATTACTTTTAACCGTACCTGTAAAGTCTATTATTATTAAAGACTATCAGAAAAAAAATGTAAAAGTTCCAATTAGATTGTAAAGACAGACTAACAGCACTTGCAATGTTGTCTATTGTAAAATCAGTGGTGCAAGAAATACCAAACTTTCATGAAAAGATAATTAAAAGGTTTATTTAATTCAAAAAGTTCGGTTATTTCCTGAACAAACCTGGTATAGTTAATAAGATGAAAATCACACAGTTGATACACCTTCAGAAATACACCTTGAAAAACTATTGATGCCTATAAAGTGCATCCGCTATTATATGCCATAATCATTTAGTTATTGTTAAACATAACAATAAGCTCATTATGTAATTACGGTTGATAATGTAATTTCCTTGTGTACCTATGCATTTATGCACACAGGATTATTTAATATCTACGTAGACAATTTCAAATCGCAGATTATTTATTGAAAATGATACAAAAAGTGTGAGTAAAAAGTATAAAATGAGGGCCCATTTTTCTAGCAAATTCAATTGGCGAGTTGCGTCGCTGTAACATTTGAACATTGATGAACTGATGTCCGCTATTTTATTGTTGAAATGTGCAGGAGAAGACAGTAGAAAAGGTGTCTCGTCTCGTTAGTTAATTTTTTCGTTAGCAACATTGTACTTATTTTAAAGAATCTGTGTCGGAAATAAGTTTTTCCAATATATTGGAAAAACTATTCATTTTGGAGAAAAGTGTTCAATAGACGAAATATGCGCAATAAAAAGACCAACAAAATACCGTCTGACAGATTAAAATCGAATAAATTGTTTAAAAGTTATTGAAAAAAAAACTTCAAAAAAACATGGAAAAACATAATTTTTTAAAATTATTATTGTTTTAATTATTTGTTATTTGTTGAAATTTTATAAATATATGTCTAAGTAAAACTGTAAATATGCCTATATTTACAAAATTCCAACAAATAACAACCAAGATATGGATAATTAAAAAAATGCAGATTTTCTACGTTTTTTGGATGTTTTTCTGCAATAACTTTTAAACAATTTATCCGATTTTAATATATTAGGGTGCTTATTGTAGGTCTTTTTATCGCGCAATTGTAAAAATAAATAGTTTTTCCAATATACTTGAAAAACTGATTTTCGATCAAAATTGTTTAAAAGAAACAATGTTGCTAATGAAAGAAATTGACTCACGAGATGAGACACCTTTTTTGCTGCGTTTCCTTAAACAGTTCAACAATAAAAATCGGACGTCAATTCATCGATTTTTTAGTCCATTTACAATGGAAAGAAAATAAGCGCAATTTTTCTGAACCATTTAAAAAATCTTGTTACATCATAATGTAACAAGATTTTTCCAAATTAAAATGCCACAAGTAATATATCTTTTAACAACTTTGAAGTACGCCACGACATTAAATATACCTTAATACATTACAGATTCATTATGTTATTCATTATACTTTCAATTTTATTTTTAATGTAGTAATTAGTCAAGGTTTTTGTAATTAAAGTTCTCCACTGGCTGTGTGGGTTGTACATGTAACACAGGTAATGTGTCTTCTCTTGTATATTTTAAATTCTTACGTTATGAAATCATATACAAATAAATGTTTATATTGAAATACCAGTGGCGTTAATCTGAAGCGTGTTTTATTATTTATTTGGATTATTCCATTGATCGTTTTAAATAAAAAAAAGTTTTAACTAATCAACGGTCTAAGTTTTAAGTTATTGTTGAAATTAGGAAATGATCACATCTGAAGATGTTCGACGTACGCCGACGAAACTCAGAATAATGGTTTAAATAATAATAAATTAGACATAAAAATTGACTGAATTGGTGTCAGCGAATTCTTCCAAGCACTTTTTTACTGTATAGGTACCTACATGAACATGTATCCAGTATATTGAGATAGTGCAATGTGGAAAATATCGTCAAATGATCCAATTAATGTTTATGTTTGAAATATAAAAGAACGGATATATCAATTTTAAATGTTAAAGAGTTAAAAAAGATGATAAATGAATTCTTGAAAACACATGAGAAATATCCAATAACGCAAAAATATTTTGACAGTATATTTAATGTTCTGTAACTAACGTCTATTTTAGAACTAAAATAAATTAGAACCACAGCAAATTGTAAACATTGGAAGAAGTTTAATAGGACTTGTTATTTTGTTTCTTCAAAGAATTGTACGATTTGGTTATGTGATGGCGTTAGTACCTATTTAAAATATCATTATAACAACTAGCAGTGGCACGTATCGAATCGGTTTGCTTTTAAAAATACCAATTCCGAGAATATAAGTGATAAATTTATTTTTGATTCGGGTAAAACAGGTTGTCATTTCTAAAACTAAAGCAGTGCCAAGTGATTCCTTCAAAGTTTATTTCTTAAATATAAAACCGACATGTATTTGCTTATATTCTTTTATTATGCCGCAGAGTTAATTTATAAACAGCGTGCTTCGTTAGAAATGAGCTACACGGTGTCGATGTTTTAGCAAAAAATGAATTTCATGAATATTTCGAGAATTATTCCAATAAGCAGGTTGAAAATTTCTAGAAAATTTGTTATGATCAAAATTTCAAAGGTACTACAGTCCGTACAATATTTGTCGAGATACAATTCGAAAAGAATAATATAATAAAGTTATATTATAGTCTTTCAGAAGTCAGTTGACAAAAACGCCTAGCAATAAAATATGTTTAATAACACAAGAAATTGTGGACACTGACACTTTAGTTAATGTGTGAATTCTGTTAATTAATTTTGAACAATTTTTGTATGCGTTGCAAATGAAAAATTATGTCTGTTGTTACAGTTATTAAAACGCGTTGATACATTTTTTTATTTGCCATGGATACAAAAATTAATCGATAAAAAATTAAAATTTTATATTTTGTGTGGAAATGTAGCAAAATTATCACATTTAAATTGTTCCAAATAATTTGCAACAATAATATTTTTTTCGACAAATAAGTACATAGTTATTGGAAATGTATCTACGATGTAAAAAGTCAATCACAAAAATATTTTTGAAAAAACAACCCCAACCTCTACAAATACTACCCTGACTACAATATTCATTTTTTGATATTACCAGCTCCTTTAAGGGCAAAGTTTATACAACTGTGTAATTTTTGGGTAAATTATCTCTATTTATAAAAAAATGTTATAAGTTTACAATTCTCTACACCACCTCAGTGACACCCTGTATGAATAAATCTCTTCATCTTACATTTCAGTGACATCTCCTGAAAATGTAATTCCATTTTCAGAATATATATTTTCGAAAAAAACGCGTTTCTATATATACATGTATCTGTACATTAATGTACATTACGACCTCATATAGGTTCGATATCGATATTTTCCAGAGACCAACCACATTCCCATTTGTTTCAGCGGTCGCTGTCGCATTCAACGGCTGAAACGGACCGGAAGCGTGCGGAAGAAGCATTGTCTGGCCACTGATATGTCTATTTTGATCGATGATCAACTTAGAAATTAGAAACAGCGTGCTGCAGACTCTATGTAATCCAGTTGGCTGCGGCCCAGCTCGGCTGTGTGCTTGACGCCGTTTACCGCCGAGTAGGCTATGACAGCTCGTGAAGTTGTGCTCGAAGGTGGACCTCCGTGGGGTTTTCGCATGCATGGTGGCGCCGACTTTAAGCAACCACTGAGGATTTCGAGGGTGAGTTGATTTTTCAACAAGGGGGGCTCAGTACGGTCTTGCGGTCGTTTGGCGTGCGATTGTGAATTATTTTCGAGGAGTAATTAGTTTGTTTTTGTTTTTGGTGGCATGTGTGTGCTCTATTTATTGTTTTAGGCGAAATTTAAGCGGTTCGGACGCGTGAGTCATTGCTTGACATGTGGAAAGCCGTTGGCATTATATTCCTATATTTCCATAAATAGAAATTATGTATACTCCATTGCAAATTATACGGAGTGTCCCAAAATATAGGTTAGAAACTTTAGGAGCAGATTAACTGTACGGAAAAAATATTACAAAAATTTGGACAACTGTATAATTTATAAACGATCAACAAAGAATCTAGAGATGTAGGACATTTTTTGTTTTTGAAAGCTGCAACACCTATGTCTCAAAAATAGTTATCAGAAAAAATAACACCAATATTCATAAAAAAAAGAGGAAGACGCTCCTTATTGTATATGTCATTAATTTTAAGGGAAAATTAGGGGAAAACGAATAGAATACGAATACGTGATTAACTGATCGCTGACCCACAAAGGTTTATTGAGAGTGAATTTTGACCCACCGTATTCTTCGGTCATTAACCTAGCTTTTACTTCATTTTTAATCCGTAACGATAAGGAAAAAACATCTTTTTACTTAGACACATGAATGCATAAGATATTTTTTACATTTTAAATTGTTAATAAAAACAAATGTATAACGTATAACTATAATGATTGTACTCGAATGTTAGGTTATTACAATTTAGTATTTTTAATATCGTTAACGTCTTCACTTTGTTTTATAATTGAATATGTTGAGTTATGATCAATTAATTATATAGTTTGTAGTACGTATACGTAGTGACTTATTGCTTTTCAAAAAGTAGTATGGTACCTACCTATTTAAAATGCCAGTACGGTTAAAACAATACTCATCGTCCATAGCACGTTGTTAATAAAGTTGGGATTCGCTGCACTTTGATTTCGAAACCAATTGTAAAATTCAACACGACTAGGGAAATCAGCTGTTTCGCTTCAACGTTAAGGGCTTATTCTTTAAAAGGTTGGGTAAAATTTTCCATTTACCTTCCGAATACGTGGTTAAATTAATTATATTATAACTGAATCACCCTGTATAAAGGGTTTTTTTATAATGGTATCTGAGAGGGGGTACATTTGATTTAAAGAATCAGTTTTAAATCAGTTTCTGTCAACAAAAAAAAAAACAATGCGGTATTGCATTTACCTACTTGTTATTAAAACGAAGTGTTTATTGAGACGAACATAATATTTAATAATTATTTATCTATGTGTTTTTATCCAGCGAGGTGAAGACAACATTACACACCAATAGCTTTAAACGGCAATGGGCCATAACAAAACTTGCAGGCGATAAAATGGCAGTTAACACCCGGGAAACAGGTTCTAAAGCACCTTTTACGCCTGGTTGTGCATAAAAAATAGTAAACACTACAATTATAAAAGTGTAATTCACCAAAAATATTTCTTGATAATTTGGTTTCGGTATAATCTTTATTAAATAAAAGTTTTCATTTGCGTAATTAATTAAAAGATCATTCAAAATTTGAAATTCGTTTTTGCCTGTTTTGACAAAACGATTTGGACCCTGACATAGCTATAACAATACCATACAAAACTTACTGTTATAATTATTTGTGTCTTGAAGCGCTAGTTGAGTAGAAAACTTATTATTTATGAAATGAACTAAATATTATATCGTTTAGAAAACTTTCCAAGGATTTTCGCAGCAAATGATGGTTTTTAATGGTGTGGAACTTCTAAACTAAACGTAAATCAAACTTTTATTAGGTTCAGGGTAATCGATAGAATAAGGTTTGGTCTACTTTTACTCGTAAATCCACCCTTCGCCGTTCAATATCTTGAGTACACAACGTAGGTACACCTAACAGCAACACTAAGTGATTGGATGAGAAACGGAGAGGAAGAAATTGTAAACAAAATTTCTAATTTCTCGATAAAACAACCTCTATCTCTTCCTTTTCATAAATACCCATTATTTTGCTTTGAAATGAGAGAAAAGTAACCCTTCTTCTTTGAAACACCATTAGGAATTAAATTGTGTTCGTATTATTTCTAATAAGTATACTGAATGATCTCAAAATTCTAAGGATCTTAACGACACTAATTGACAGATTTGTTTACTAGTTCAGTGAACTTTTTTTTAATTATATATTAGTCCACGCTTCATCAATCTACGTCAAACTTAGTCGAGACATGTGAACACACATGACATTTTTTTTTTAATTTCAACAATCTCTATATACTCGAATACCATTGGTTTTAGATCCTTCGTTTATTACGGATTTTTTGTCTAAAATTATCTAAGGTAGTGGTTCTCAAAATGTGGGTTGCGACCTCCTGTGTAATTTCTAAAAACTACGGTTTGTTCTGCAACTTTAGTTAAAGCAGGGACGTATATACAGGGTCTTTTTAAAATATTTTTGAAAATGAGCAACTTTTATAAAGCAAGTGGTAGTCTAAATGCTTCTGTTTTCGAGAAAATTAACCATAATTGTAAACCGACCATGTGCATCTTGCGCACGTGCTAATAACATGCTTCCAAACGACGGTCAAAATTCTGTTACCAAACACACATTCACTGAAAACCGTTCCTAGAACCAAGATCTCCGCACAAGGTAAGGATTTAAATCACACCAATAGTGAATGTTGCGAAAATTTAGTATGTCGTCTCTAGTAAAACAACATTCATCCGTAAAAAGCACCTTGCTTGTAAAATCTTTATCTTTTGCTATTTGATGTCGAAACCACTGGTAAAATTCCACACGGGGCTGAAAATCATTGTTGTTTAATGCCTGAACCCTTTGTACATGATAGGGGTGTAATAATTGTTCCCGTAGTACACGCCACATGGTACTGTTGGTTTTATACACCGGCTGATTAATACCGCAACACACAATACACGTGCACAAGATGCACAGGGTCGGCTTACATTTATTTATAAGATTATCGCCATTTTCATGGAACGCACTTATTTCAGAAACACATATTAATTCGATTTAACTAAGTTTCTAGAGAATTTAAAGAAAAAGAGGTTCTTGAAACTTGAACTCAAGGCAGCTGTTTTCTTTCACTCCAAAAGTGACGTAAACTGTCAGACAGAAAATTGTTATTATTTCACCACTCGCATCTGTATATGCTTCAAAAAGTTTAGTTGGAATTTATGCCACTTGGATGCAACTCTGTCAAATTGGATTATTATCCATCTTTGATAGTTGTCATCAAGTCTTTGACGGAAAATATCCAAGAATGTTGTTTCTAGAGTGGCTACAAACTTGCCCTTTAATTAATTAATTAATTACAATTTGAATGCAAATATTGTATCTTGTATATCTTGAAGAGTGCCTTATATACTTTTAAACATTATTTATTCATATTTTGCCATAACTTTTTTACCATTTAGTTGGTTTTTTCAAATTTAGTATATAATTAATTATTGCATTATTGACAAAACTAAAAAATCTTACAAAAAGGTTCTCTTATTTTAAGTCAACAACGTTAAAAGATTGTTTTAAATGGCGTCTTTGGAAATACTACTAGGAATAAAAAATTTAATGACGTAACGTATAGTATTTACGCGTATGATGTAAATACCATAGACTGATCAGACTGAGATTATACTTTTCTGAAAGTTTTTGACGCGTCAAATCCGAACCGTTAGGTTTTCGAGACATCCTAACCTAAAAGTGCGAAAAGTCCGTTTTTTCGCTGTATTTGAGGTTATATTACATCTTGAGGTATATTTTTCCACAAAACTCGTTATGGCATCTGAAAGTACAACTCTTCCCCTTCAAAATCCATTTTGAATCATCCGAAGATCTTATTCCCTTTCCATCTCTTGAATAGCATCAGGTGAGGATTGAAATAAAGGGTAGAACCAAATTACAAAAATGGCGAATGTTTAAAAAATGCCAATTTGTATTTTATAAGTCTGACTTCTGTAATTCTGAAATGGGTTTTGAAGAAGAAGAGTAGTACTTTAGATGCCGTACTATATAGCCAATATTTGTGTTTTTCGCATTTTTACCTTCAGGAAGGTGTGGGCTGCCTTATGGTTTAGAAAAGTCAATCACATTTTGTCGGGTTGTGTATCTAATTAACTTCGATTTTGATATTTTCCTCATAGGAGCACTATATTCAGTATGGATCTGGTATGTAATATCTATATAACCTTCGAACACATAACGCTGTGTAAAAAAATAATATAAATCAATTAATTTTCTATTCAAGAACTGTGGCGTTACTCACAGCAATGTAACGAGCACACATTTTTGTGTTGTGACAATGAGTGTATAAATAATACACTCAGTGTATTTTTTAAATACATTAAATTGGCGTAGAGTTATGACTCACCATTTTGCCGGCTTGCACATTACCGAGAACTTAAAGTTATATTTGTAGTAGCCTAATTTGCGACGATCTTCCCTAATAGATCGCCTAGTTTAGATCACTTCCGAGTTGCTATATTGCATTTATGTCTTCGTTTATGTCCAAACTACTCGTTAAGTTTCAAACAGTTGAAACATTCCGCGAATAGATTAGAATTTTATTGCATTGCATTGTTTACATACCGAGTATCTGTAATTTTACTCGCGAAGAACTGTGAATGAGAGATAATAATATATTCATTTAAACAATTTTTCCTGACACATAAACAAACTCTTATTTGTTTTCATTCATTGTTAGAAAAGTTGTTGGCATAATTTTTTTGAACCCAGCCATGTACTAAAGGAATAAATAAATGTATTATTTGTGACACATTGTCAATGGTAGTTCACAACAAATTCAGAGAACCATAGCACAAGGCAAAGGGTGATTCAGTACTTATCCAAAAAGAATTTTTTGATGTACAATTTTGAAAAGAAAAAATAGAAAAGAGCACTTAGAAAATGATTTAAAAATACATTTCTGCACGCTACTGGAAACTGGTCCACTGTAAAACCTGATCTCGCATAATGCAACCGGCACAGAGGCAAGGTGTGATAAAAACGGACAAAAACTTAAAAGAATCTCGTAAGGAAAGGAATAAATGCTAGTGTTATCAATAATTAATAAAATTAACACCGACGTGTAAACACATTTGGACCCGCCTTCAGTATCTACGAACTAACATAAATGCTTCACCATAACACAAATGTCTCACCATAACACAAATGTTGTCTTCTTTCACCATAAATTAAAACGATATCCATCTACTCCGAGCTACTATACACGCAAGCCATTTGTAACACTAAAAAACTATTGTAAACACTATCGCAATGACGATTGTAAAGTCGGATGTCGGTATTCGTCGCTGAGGCCACGTGACTCCCACGCGTATTGCAAATGACGTTAGAGACTACAGTTGTACAGCGATGTAATGCTTGAAAGTACTACAACTTCAATAATTTTTTTCTCGGAAACTATAAGTAATTTACAATTTTTTTTACAATATTGACTGCATTTCTCATGCCGCATCTATTCTCAAATTTTTTTGGATAAGTTGTGAATACAGGGTCTTGTAGATGTACTAGCTGAACAAATTATGAAGACTCAGTTGACATACCATAGCTTACTGCGATGTTTTTTAGAACCGATTTCTGGTAAAACCAAATTAAGGACTCTTATTCACATTCTAGTAAGGAAACCTTACTCAGAATCACTTAGAAACCCTTACTATATCCCAAAACTTTATATTGCAAAATATTTTTTAACACCAAAGTTTTAAATTTAAGATATTTCGGTTAATTTAGAGTTTTTGGAAATGTCTGGAAAAATTAACCAATTACTGGCCTTGCTGATTATGCTTGGAAATAATAATATACATATGTATTAATAAATCGAAATTATTTCCATAATGCAAGGCAGGACCCAATATTGTGACGATTTTAGACCCATCAATCACCTTTGGCATTTCTAGTACCAGATTTTTAAAATGAAACAAAAAAAACGTTGAATATGTCACGTGGTTCTACTCTTTACTAGATATTGCGAATGTAATTCAATGCTGGTCGAAGCTTTAATACCTAGAGTAGTTGTGCCCCACAATATCAATAAATTAAAACAATACAATACGTTATGCCAACAGACATTGACTAACAGTGATAATTAATATTATAGTACTTAAATTTTATATGTAGGCAACTACTACATGACAACTCTTATTATTTATTTGTTTGTTTTAACGAAAATAGTCACAAATGTGTTGTGTGTAGACCGTTTGATTAAAAATTATTTTAACATCAGTAAAATCATTCCTAATATTAATCAAACTTTGATTCAACTCTGAAATACAATTATTTCCTGGAAAATTGTGTACAATTGTTACTTTTATTATTTTCTGTTATTTCAAAAATATAGCAACTTCTTTAAAAAAAAAAGGTTGGCTGTAAAACTCAAAGAAGCCTTAAATACATATTTCAGCGTCAAATAAAATGTTGGTTTCCTTGGCACTATTATATTTTATTTTTAAATGTTTCATCATATGAGTCATATTAAACATGTTTTATAGTCGCCATAGTCACATACATACATTTATTCATGTTCAGAAAAATCGTATTATTTTCGTAAGTGATTTAACTTTTTTGCTCAGTAATATAAGAGTGAGGTAGTGGGTAATAAAATAATCTTAGTATGAGCACTAAATATAACTTGATAAAAATACAAGTTAGTACATCTAGAACTTCTCCATTAAGATATATATCACTATATCAGACTATAAAAAGTAAGTAAGCCACGCAACTTATTTCAGCTCTTTAAATGGCAGAAAACAAAGCGCAGCTTGTTCGGTCTAACTGAAATTGACCCATAATTTACAGAATTAAAACCGCATGCACTAGATTAGCACAGATTTAATTTGTTCATAATTATAGCTCGTAGCATTTACTTGTACCTAGTGTTCGATGTTGTTTGGTGTTATAGAAAGAAATCGTCATTTTCAGCATCCTTTAAAATACCAGATATGTCCAAAATTAAACGTGATAAGATCCGGTTTGTGCTACTGTACATAGATATTAAACTAATTCAATTTAATCCTAAAAATGTTCTTAATGAAATCATATAATGTTCTTTGATACCAGTATTCTAAAAATATCTGATGAGGTATAATTATAAATCATATATTTTATCTATTTACTAGATATTGTCTAGATATCTTTGTACCAAAAAAATCGCGTACTAGAAACTGGAACCATTAAATAGTTGTAGCCGTAGATAGAACGCCTTTCCCTTTTTATCCCGTCTTCTGTAGTAAACAAAACACTTGATAGTTCAGATTTAGGTTTTATTACAAGAGTCTATTGTTTAAGTTTCAAACAAAATTACTAGTGAACAAATGTTTAAATAACCATTTATTTAAGCGGATTCTTGCTATTAACTATGTTTTTCTGTAAAAAAACTGTCTGTCTGGTGGTAACATACAGACTAGAAGACAAAAACTGAGATAACTACACGTATTTATGTAAACACTTGTAAATTGTAAAGAAAGTCAGTTGGGCTATCGATAAAGCCAGAGGTTCTAAAAATGTTTCCTCGTGTTATTGTGATAGGTAATAATACACAGATAATTCCAACCAATGTGACAGTGGTGACAGTAATATAGTCTTGCACACCAAATTGTCACAGATTTGATCCGCAGAAGCAATCATTTTTTATACGCTTGCTCCGGACAACTGGAAAACATTGAGAATTGCTACAGAAATAAAAACTCTTTAACTGTAATAATTTAATAAATACATTTATTGCTATTATAAATATTTATCCAAGTCGAAGTGGAATTAAGCTTAAATATATTCTCCATTTGGGTTTCATGTTCTGGAGAAGACCACCAGTCAGTCTATGAGCACCATATCGGTTTAAGTCACTTCAACGCAGTTGGTATATAAATCACTACATTCTTCTATGGATGTTATATTCTTTCTTGTTTTATATCTACTGTAATTATCATCACTAAAAAATAAACGAGGTAACAAACGCTAAATCTTGAAGTATTCACAACATACCTGAATATATTAAAAGCTAATTTCAAAATAATGTTCCCTTTGCTACTGAAATCTGCTTCACACACAAACTTCCTTCTACATGCGTCACTTTTCAAGTTGAGGTCATTAAAAGCTATATCAGTTATATTGAATCTGAAAATAATAAAGAGTATTGAAATGACTTCAACATGGTATTTTTTGCGAAAAAAGGTTTAGCATGGATTTTTATTTTTAATTGCCCACATTTATACTGATTTTATGCATAGTTTCTGGAGACCCTGTTGATGACTGTTTGAAGTCATTATGAAAAAATGGACGTTAAAACTGATGTGCTCATGCGGTTTTTCCTGAGCTTTAACAAAGTAAGAACTTACTTCCTTATCATGTGCTGAAATAATTTAACGTAACCGGAAATACTATGCTTTTCCGCACCGTTACTTCGTCCGTAGCCAGGTGGTGGACCTTGAGCGTAATTTCCTTCGAAACCCTGACCAGGTCCAGGAACTTGTCCACCTGCACCAGAGACTTCTGCTCCAGGCGGAAGCTGGTCCACAGAGTATCCAGGTGGATAAGAATCTTGATAAGGCCCCCCTCCATGTGGATATGATTTTCCAAAATCTAAACCAGGTTGCGAAAAACCATGAATTGGTGAATGATCGACAGATCCGTGCAGAGATACGTAAACTATTTTTTCGGAGTGATGATGGTCGTCAGGCGCTTCTAAAAAAATATAATAATCAAAACTAGACATCTACTACCTATAAAGGAATATAATGATTAAGAAGAATCTGCATTCTAGATATTTAGTATCAGAGTAGATATCTATATAGTCCAAGGAACCAAGGGCTTCCCCTCCGAATTCTTTCGGATAGAACCGATTGACGTGAAACTTGGACTGTACATTTGGACATTTTTCAATAAGTCAATATTTTCTGAGTTATTGGTGGTTGAAAATGTACATTTTTTTATTAAAAAAGACGTTTTTCAGTAGTTTTTCTCGAATAACTCGGAAAATAGACATTCTATGAAAAAAAAACGTCACGAAGAAAATGAAGCTTATAGAAAATAGATTCAGTTTTTTCATTTATGTAGGTGCAATAGGTGCTGAGATATGGCTGGTTGAAGTGAATTTCATGTCCGCCAGAAACTAAATTGGAAGCATTTAACGTAAAATAACTCAAAAAAAAATATATTTTCAAAAAAAATGCACAGAACATTTTTTATAGTACTTTAAAAAACCTTTAAAACCTCGCTTTTTCGGAAAAAATCAGTATAAAAACTGATTAATTTTTCACGAGTAAAATTAAAGGTAATCCTTCTACAATTGTTTTTATGTGCTAACAGTATATTATACAAGTTTACGCGGTTTAGAATGTATATTTTTGAAAATATTACGTTTTGATTGAAAAAAAAAATTTAATCCAAAAAAACACATTTTTGAAAATAACTAAAAATAAAAAAATACGAAAAATATTCAAGAGTACAAAAGTTTAGATAGATTTCACAGAATATTTTGTGTTTTTTTATTTGTGTAGGATAAAAATTAACAGAGATGTCGCTACTAGAAGTTTGCAGTTGAAGGCGAAACCTTTTAACCTCTGAAATATCAAAGATAACGCGTTAAAAAATCTTAAATTTTAAAGTACTTTTTGCTGTCGAAATTTTCCGTAAAATCGTTTTTGGATCGTCTTAATAGCTTTAAAATTAAGGAAGTTATCGTTAAAAAAACAACGGTACCTTACCGCTTCAATTTTCGGAGCATATCAATATTTTGGTTATCGACAACTTTTGGACAACTGGAGCATTCATAGGTATACATAATAAAACAATGTATGTATACCTATATGTATTTTTGAAAATTTCAAATTATGACTTTCTGCATGAAAAAAATATTGAGAAATAAATATTTTGAATATTGCATAAATTAAAGTAAATCGCGAGAAAGTTAATACGAAAAAAATATATTTTGCATTATTTATTGGATTATTATATTTTGTCATCGGAGAGGTTTTTAAGGGTTACAACAATGCGATAAATTATAAATTGTATTATAAACAGGTAAAAGAATTTAATTTATCCTATTTGTACTATTAAATCATTTCAAACTGTAGGTTTTTAAGGGTTGAAATATTGTAATAAATTATTTGTAATACCATAAACTGTAGAAAAGATTTCTAACTATAATATAAGAGCTATAAAAATATTTTAAGATCAAAAAAACTATTAATTTTATATTTTTATCATTAAGGGTGTTTTTTAAGGATTGAAACTTTATAAAAATTTCGTAAATTATAACCCACAATATAAAATATTTATTCCATATATTAAGATATTATAGACTAAAATCATTAGTCTATATAACACCTAGTTTTATATTTATTCAGTTTTCAGCATAAGGGGTGATTTTCATCCCCTAAAGATAAGAGGCGCATATCATGCATATAACTTTTCATCTACAGGGTTAATAAGCTTAATTCCAAAATTTCATAAAAATCTATCCGAAAGTATTCAGAGGTTTTACCCTATTTTTCATTTCATTTGATGGGAATTTTTAAAATAAAATAACAAATGCAACTGTGACTAATAATAAGGGATAAACGTATAAGGATACTTACTTTTCATATATTCTACTAGTTTTACCAGTGCAAAAAATTTCCCAGCTACTAACCCAACTGTAAAAATAAATCCTAACACTAAAAGGAACTTCACTTTGAATGCTAAAAACGTCAAATAATGAAATCCATGCCCTGCAAAAGATAATAAACAAAATACATATTGAAATTATTTTTTCATTTGTAATTATTAATTGACTTACAGTACAAATCATACTTATGTTTCTTCTTGTGGGAATCACAACAACACACAGTTAAAACAGCAAAGAACACTATTAACAATTTTAGTGATGGCATTGTTAGAATGTTGTTCTCTAGTCGAAAGTTTTATTTCTATTCTTTTAACTTCTTTACCGCAAATTTCTTTTATACATGCGCACGAAAGAAAAGGAAAACGCTTTTATTTGCTTTGGAAATTAACATCTGTCTGTACTTTTATTTTCATTATTTGTTAAAAATATGCCAAATATTTGTTTAAATATTTGTTTTATTTGTGGAACAATTAGTGGTATGTGTGTCAGCTTTCTTGAAAATGTATTACACTTTTATATAGTTTGACATGAGGTAGATATATCTACGCAATTTGATATTTAATTTTTGAGAAAATCTTTTCCTAAGACGACACTATTCTTATCAACATTTTCAAATAAAATTTTCCTTAAAAGTCTGATTTCTAGGAGCATGAAAAGTGTTTAGGAAATTTTTCCATAGTTTTGTCACCAAATCTGAAGAGACGTCAATTTTTTATAGGTGTTGACGTTAGCTTACTTGGGGTCAAAATATGGCCCATTCGTTGACTGACACCCTGTATAACTTACGTATTTCATCTACCAGAAGCTCAACTCCCAAAAACTGAGTAAATACAAAATATAATACTCAGGAAATTGTTGAAGAGACGATATAAATTCTGCATATTGAAATTCCTTGAATTTCTCCAAAGAACCGTAATGTGATGAGTGAAAGATAACATAGCGTCTGATACTCAGCCGTCGCGACGCTTGGGTTTGATGTACGGTTTTATTTTCGTATCGTTTGTATACGCGTCTGAAGGATAACAATTTGCCTGAATGTTTAATTGTTGTTCCTTATTGCTTGTAGCACAGAACTTTATGGCAAATTTAACCACAAAACGATCATTTATAGCGTCCTAGAAATTGAAAGATACACATGTTCCCACAAAATTTAAAACGTACCATAATGTGCCAACTGTCCAAAATACTTTACAAAGGTATTTTATTTTTGTTTTACAGAAGAACGATTTTAAAATGTGTTTACACAAACAAAACGTCAAATGTAACTTTTGGATAGAAAGAGAATGTACGAATTTAAGGAAAAATGTAGAGACGAAAGTTGGGTAAGGTAGTTTCAACGAATGAAATTGAAAATAAAGGCAAACCAACGAAAAGGCGACAAGCAAAAGCGAGTAAAGAAAAAATAGAACAACGATAGACAAAAACAAAGAAAAAGTAGCATTTACCATCGAAGATGCTCAAGATTTATTTCCATAGAGAACGCTTAAACAATTCTTGAGTCTTCACATCCCAGCTAATAAAGACATGACAAATGTCACAGACATAGCCTGTGTAGTCCAGGCAAGTTAGACCAAAATCACCCGGAATACGGAAATTTTTTTCTGATAAACCGATCGAGTTGCGGTTTTCGGCATTGTCTTCGGAAAAATATCAGGAAAAAAGTCTATATATTACACTTTGGGGCTGGATCGAAACTGCATTCCGGGTGCATAAAGTGCATCTTGGAGTGTATCAATTTTTCCGAAATTTCTAAAAATGGTAAAAATTGACTAAAAGTTGTAGAAATTTGGTTCTCGGGGTCGGAGATTTCGAATCTGACCCTGAAAAATATGCCCAACGGCCCTGGGGCCCCCAGGGAGGCAAGCGGGGGGCCTTCTGTAAAACATCGAATAGCTGAGTAATTGCCTTCTAAATTTCTACTCAGGGGTTTTCGGGGTTGGGGATTCCGAATCTGACGCTGGAAAATATCCATTAACAATTAGGCGACCAATTCCGATTATCGACAATGCAGATCCTCGTGGGTGCAGGAAGCATGGAATTACATGCACAATTGCATGTGCAAATCGAAAATTTAGTCGAAAATGTAATAGATGATAGTGATAGAGGCAGTGATGGCAGTACTAATGATGAAAATTGTGATTGATAGTGAAAGTGGTAGATAAATAAATGGTAGTAGTTGTCTGACTAATTGCTTTACAATTAAAAAGAAAATTGATTCTCAGAATAAAGTAGATTCTTTTCGACTCATTAATTTCCTGTTAGTTTTTCTTACCCTTCTTGTCTAATCTCTGTAAATTTACGTGTGTTACAATGTAAAGATAAGCCTACAAGATCATGGTTGGTTAGCGGGTGGGGCAGTTTTATTGCAAAAATCTGATGTGCCTTTCGATGTTTTCCAGAAAGCCCACCCCACGGGCGTCGGGCATACTTTTCAGTGTCAGAATCAGCTATTACTCTCTCAGCTATTCGATGTTTTACTGAAGCCCACCCCTTGCCCCCCCTGGGGGGCCCAGGAGCGTCGGGCATACTTTTCAGTGTCAGAATTGAAATCCCCGACCCCAAAAACCCCCGAGTGGAAATTTAGAAGGCAATTACTCAGCTATTCGGTGTTTTAGAGAAGGCCCCCCTTGCCCCCTGGGGGGCCCCAGGGGCGTCGGACATTCGTTTCAGTGTCAGAATCGAAATCCCCGACCCTAAAACCCCCGAGTGGGGATTTAGAAGGCAATTACTCAGCTATTCGATGTTTTACAGAAGGCTCCCCCTTGCCCCCCTGGGGGACCACAAGGCCGTCGGACATATTTTTCAGGGTCAGATTCGGAATCTCCGACCCCGAAAACCAAATTTCTATAACTTTTTGTCAATTCATACCATTTTTAGAAAATTCGGAAAAATTGATGCACTCCAAGATGCACTTTATGCACCCGCAATGCAGTTTCGATCGAGCCCCAAAGTGTAATATATAGACTTTTTTCCTGATATTTTTTCAAAGACAATGCCGAAAACCGCAACTCGATCGGTTCAACAGAAAAAAATTTCTGATTTATTGTCTAACTTGCTTGGTCTAGTAGATATCATGTAGAAAAATAAGACTATAAATGGACGGAAAAGTACTTCTATTTTGAACTACAGATATAAGAACAGCAAAGTTACTCTAAATGTGATACAAACTAAGTAGAATCCTAGACCCACACTACTACATACAAAGTGATACTTATACTTTTTTTTCAAAGAATTACCATTCCTGAGATATAACGATTCTAAAAGTTGAAGGAGTCACGTTCTACATGATATGCACATATATGCCACGTATATACATAGTCAGGCACTTAATACAAGTAAAAATGTCTATTTGTGTCTCTTGTATGTATGAACTGTACTATTCTGAGAATATACACTCAAAAGAAACTCAGTCCCTTAGTCAAAATGAGGCAGATGTCCTTGACAGCAATAGAACAATTTAATGCAACGAATACAACTGAGTCCTCTAGTATCAAATATTCCTACTAAAATTCCCTATTGATGTGTTCATTCGAATGATTGCAAAAGTCATCTACTATTATATTAGGTGACTTTTGCAATCATTTGAATGAACACATCAATAGGAAATTTTAGTAGGAATATTTTGAAGCGTATATCTCATTTTCCATCAAAAACGGATTTAAGGGGTTTTGATACTAGAGGACTCAACTATTGTAGTTGGTGAAGATGTTGACTTATTAATACTACTCACTGCAAGGACTCAAATTGGTAAAATTATATCCTTTTTAAAACCTGGAAAGGCTCAACAGCGTACAGAAATATATTCTTCAAAAAGTCAAAACCATGTAAAACATCAGTATTAAAATTATTTGAAAAAAAAAAGATTTGATTGATTGCGCTAAAGTATTTACAGAAATTGACTCTTCACCTCTAACAATAATCACACAAGGAATTCGCTTTCTCCTTGCTGTTTATGGAGCTCCAAAAAAAATTGATTGTATAAATAAATATAGATATTTAACTTCTCTAAAAAATACACGAAACAAGAAACAAGTACAACTATCTTGTCTTCCTCCAACATCGGCCTCTACTAATTAACACTTGTATCGAGTACACTATCAAGTTCAGACATGGCTAGGCAATCAACTGAACCCAGAAGACTGGGGTTGGAAATTAACAGATAATACTTTGGAACCGATTCAAACTTTATTTCCACCTGCTCCGGAAAAACTCCTAAACACTAATTTTTGCAATTGCAAAAAAGGTTGTAGTGCCAAATATGGCTGTAGAAGAGTAGGGTTACTGTGTTCTCCAGCGTGTACTAATTGCCAAAGCCAGTCTTGCTCAAATGTCCAATTAAATAAAACAGAGGAATAATTCATGTGATTTCGATGAAGAGACAGCTGATTCATCTTCATTTGAACAATTTATGAACATCCAGCAAGAAGAGGAAGAAGAAGAAGAAATCGAAGAAGACATGACTGTTGAAGTTGACTTTGAAGAGTATGAATCAGATTAAAAATTCAAAAGAAATCAGAAAACCAATATCAAAATCAATAATCATGCAGTTAAAAGAGTATTGTCCCTGAAAATTCCGTCATAACAGTTCGTGGAGTAGGCCTACCGGGGAAACCCCGTTAAAAAAACGCGGTAAAGTACACTATCTCACAGGTGGTGAGGAAATGTGTGCATATCATGTAGAACGTGACTCCTTCAACTATTCGAATCGCAATATCTCAGGACTGGTGATTCTTAGAAAAAAAAGTATAAGGACCATTTTTGTAGATAATTTTAAGATCTATAATTTTTGTCTGAACTATTTTTTTGATAAAACTTACCGTTTTCGAAAAAAAATCAAAAAACCTCAAATTTTGACATTTGACCCCGAATAAATGTTTTAACACACGAGATCGATGGGGACTTTTGAAACTTTATTTCTAATGGTGTACCCAAGGTCTCCTCCAAAATTTAGCTCTGTCGGAATGTTCGTTATTTGAAATGTCTATTTTGACCGGACTATATACCTTTTAGGTTTCTTTTTTATTAATTTAGTACCATATGTTTTGTCCAAACCATAATAAAACTCGGAGAAGATGTCGCTGATCATTTCTAATGTATTTTGATCACATATTTTGCGAATACAATTTTGTTTAGAAGTCAAATTTACACCAACATGTTAAATTTTCATAAAATGTTCCATAACTTTGTTAGTAAAGGGTAATACTTATGAAAATTTACTCTCAAAACGACCTTAAACTTAAAATACATCACCATGATCAGTTTGAGCTTCAGATAGATGACATGACGATAAAT